GATTTGACAAAACGACGTTTAGTAAATTGGCTTCAGCGTCGCCATTTGTTAAAAAAATAATAAAAAAATATTTTTACTTCTAAAGACTTGTATTATTAAAACCTTAAAACGAATTTTTTGTTACTTTTATTGTTTTCCTAAAAAAATTCCCAAAGTTACCGATTGATTTTTAGGCGGTCAAGATGGGGTAACCCCTTAAGTTGATGTTACGTAGACATACATTTGTCAAGGTATGTTCATCAGTATAACGGTTCGCACAACTGTAGTTCTTAGGATACATAACATTCGGTTAGAATACTCTCGTATATGATTACCTCAACCGAAAGATTATCATTGTTTCTTTGATATGATTTACAGAACAAATAGTGTGATTGAGCTAGAGATCTATAAGATTTAGTTGCGCGATACAACACACTGAGAGTTCAGTTCTATTGCAGCTATAGAAGATGGCAGCAGTAAAGCCCCATATAGCACAGAGGGTTCAAAAAGAATTCAGTTGTATGCTAATTCTGAGCGAGGGGTCAACCATTACTAAAAAATGTACAGTGATTGCTAATGGCAACACAACACTTTATTGCTAGTATTGCTATTGTATTGCTTTCGTATTGTCAGTAATATTGCCATTATATCATGTATCTATTATATCATGTACTGCCACTTATTGCACAATATTGCCAAGTATTGCTAATGTATTGCTAGGTATTGCTCGAGGTATTGCTATGTATTGATAGCGTATTGCTAGTATTGTCGCAATACTGGCAATATGTTCCTAAAAAAATGTATACTGATTCCCATAGTTGACCCCTCGAGGCAACCATATAAATCGCTTCCAGAGTACTATGGTTCCTATAACTTTTTTATATGGATAGGCAAAAACTATCATTATTATTTTATTGTGGCAACCCTAACTTTTCTCCGTGTGTCAATGTCATGAAAAATTAGAATAAAAAGCGCAAATTATTGTGTAAAGTCGATCTCGTGTCACAGAAATACTGCCACTACAATACGTTTCGCAAAGCGATATCTCGAGCCTTAATCCTGCTGTCATCTTCTAATATGTCGATATAACAAGATATTGATTTTATCGAGCAACAGCGACTAGTTCTAAGCTCTATTCGAGTGCAAATTGCAGCAAGTTCATTCGCACGCGATACCGCGTTTCTTATTAATCGATCGGTCGAAAGGGCGCGATCAGCCATTCCGACAATTCGCTCATTAGTGTCCAAATAAGTGAATAAAAGAGAGAGAAAGAGAGAGAAAGCTTTTGCTCCGTGCTTGATTTAGAATTTTGGGCTCACCGAGCGTACAGTTCATAAAGGAGGAGAAGTGGTCTTCCCCCTCCCCCCGATGCACGTAATAGACTCTCAAAATCCTCCAAATCCGCATCGTGCGAATTCACGAAGGACACGAGAGGGATTTCCGTCGACATACGTCCAAACTTCAAAGGGACTTATTCATGTGGTACCAGTCGATTATTCGAGTCACGTGCTCGAAGAGCTCGCCTTTCTGTCTGTACCACGAAATCTTTCGCGTCAGAAGTATTCCCCGTATTTCCGATCATTACGTTTTCCCTACGTGTGTAATATAACGCAATAATATTTATTCCATTTTTTGTGTCTACTGATATTCTTGAACCTTATTTAAAAGAATACAGTTTTATATATAATAAAAGACTATCGTATACTTCACGGTCAAAAGATAGACGGTAATAATTAATGGCGGGCGAAGCCTTGAATTCTAAAGAGGCGACAACTCCTGGAGCGTCATAAAAGTGAAGCCGTGGTAATTACAGATTCTTAATAGGTCAACTCTGTATAACGGACACTGCACAGCTCGTGTCTCCGTGCAGGTACCATCACCTGGATATCTAGCGATGCGAGTCTAACGATGTCACCACTGTCCACCGCGTCGAATATTTCGTTTCTTTCGTCACGCGCTGCCTGATCAGACTTTCGCTGCTTTCACCTCGCGCGAAGAAAAAGTGCAACGAGTTGGGCATCTCATTTGCAAAAAAAGAAAGAACGATCGAGAATTTTTTGAGAGTTATTCATATATATTCTGTTATAACATTCGGACGAAAATGTCGATTAAAAATGCTGATAATAATAATTAAAAGATGACAAATGTAATAAGTTAAAAATATAGTTGTCAAAAAGAGGACACGAATCAAACTAAATATTTTAGTCTGTTTGTTAAAACATTTGAATCTGTTTGACAAATAATGTTATAAAATCGAATAATTCATGCCAAATGTGCCTCACATTAAAGTAAAATTATAATAATCAATTTATATAAATCGAAACCAATATATATTTTGGCGATGGAATCGTAATTAACTTTCACTTTTGCATATTAAAATATTTCACAAATCGCTGAGTCAACGTTAATAAAAGATAATCGATTCCAGTTTCAAATATGTCGGAATTTTATTATTTTATCCGAAAGTTTTACACTTTTATAGCTTTAAGGACCTTTAACTTTCTACTTAATTATTAACGATTAATTATAAAACGACGTCACTGATTATTATTGTTATCTATATATCGACGTTAGAGAGTATATTTTAAAATATATTCTCCGTAAAACACCGCCAAAGTTTTATATAGAAATTCAGTAATATTTTTTTCAGCATTTCTAATAATACTATATATTTTTCTGATTTTCAGATTGTTAATTAAACCACAGTATTATGCGCATATTTTTATTTTTTACACCGCACACGCAGGTTGAACTTTACTCAAGTTAACG